CAACGAATGGTGGAGGCTGGACCGTTTTTCAGAGACGTGTTGACGGCTCTGTTGATTTCTATCTTGAATGGAAATCCTACAAAAATGGCTTTGGAAATCTGAACGGCGAGTTCTGGCTTGGAAATGACAACCTTCACCGTTTAACAGCCGTCGGTATCACCACGTTGAGAGTTGACTTGGAAGATTTTGAAGGAAACATCAGGTATGCTGAGTATGACAATTTTACGGTGGCAGACGAGGCAGACAAGTACAGGCTTTTGATTGGAAGATACAGTGGCACAGCGCGGGACTCCCTTAGGTGGCAAAAGTAAGAATGGTTCTCTTCGTCTGGATCTCCAAACTCGTTCCTGGGGCCTCTCGTCGTCTCGCTCCAGGGGCGGGAAGATTAGAGGTTGCGTTACTGCATGTTTGTTCGAGTTCCTATTAGCTAAGGTGCTTGTGCTTTAATTCTGTCTGGGTGTGTGTTTGTCTGACTGTTGGTATCTCCGTCTATCCATATGTCGGTTTGTCCTTTTTTTCTGTCCAAATTTGCTTGTCTGGTTGTTTATATAATCTGAAAATATTTCGTATGGTTTCTACAGCCCCATTAAGGGATCGGTTGTAATTCATAGCCGTAGGGGAGTGTCGCTCAAGATAAAAGTTGCTTAATTCCCCCATGAGGTTCTGCAGTCAATTTTCCAAAATTCCCTATGATTATATTGAGAACGACTGAACTTCCCTCCGTTTCTCCTGGAAACCATGTGGTCCTGGCCCCAAAAATCATCCAACTCCCCCACCCTAGCCCGGTGATAATAATAGATAAAACACACTAATATGCGTTCTTATATCATTTCAGTAAAATGCAGTTTTCCACAAAAGATCATGACAACGATCAATGTAGTCATTGTAGCTGCAGCAAACTCTACAAGGGAGGCTGGTGGTACATTTCCTGTCATGGGTCCAATCTGAACGGACTGTACCTTGGGGGTCCACATAAGTCTTATGCAGACGGAGTCGAATGGTCCGGTTTCAGGGGCCTACACTACTCGATGAAACGCGCTGAGATGAAATTGAAAATCAAAGAATGAATCGTGCTCGAGAGTAACCGAGAAAAAACCCATTTGAACTCAGATCCAAAGTCAACGAAACACAGCGCAGTGGAGCAGGAACTGTGGAGGAGGGGGAGGGGGGTGGGAAAGGTTAGTCGAACGTGACGCTTGATCGCTGAGTCAATTGCACTTAGCGCTCAGGTAAGCTTTTCCTGCCCCCCCCCTTCCCCCCACTCCCCATTTCCACTCAGGATACGCTGAACTGAGTCAATATACTTAATGAGATAGATGATACCCCGAAATCGTTTTTTCTTCCATTTTTTTTGTAGTTTTATCTTAGGATACCATTATAATCTGTAGACGTAGCCATAGGCTCATTAATTTCAGTGCACGTATATAAACAATAGGCTCTGTATATTTGGCACGGAATTGTGCACGGATATTTGTCTGCGGACATTAGCTGTTCTAAGATACGAACAGCTCTCAGAGAGCTAAGCTCAATAAAACCTGTGAGCTTCGAGAACAGATAATGTCCAAGGACGAATTTACAACCATATTTCCGCGCCCAATAGAGTTCTCCGGAATTTTCTGCCTTCGATATCAATTCGACTGGAAACTGTGAACGAGAAAGGCGAGGATATCCTCTGCTAAATACTCAGTATAATGCTCATTACAATACTTTTTCCCCTTTTTCTGCAGTATTGGTATGTTATTAGGTCGAAAATCCCGATAAGTAATACAACATACCAGCAATCACTAAACTTTTTCATTTTTTTACGAGGCAAGGGAGGGAGGGGTTTGATCTTGCAACGACAATATTCAGTTTTTTTTCTATGAGAATTATTCCCGAATGAAACAAAGATTTTAGGCTGCAGTGCAGCTTGCGTTTAAAAATGTAATTGGGAAACGCGCTGTTCTCAGGAAAAATTACATAGAAAATCGGTGGCGCTTGCATACGACTTTTCTCTACCATGATATTGCGCGCGCACGCAACAAAACTGCTTTCCCTTTAAAAGAATTATTCGCGCGCGCAAGGTATTCGTTGCGCATGCACGTCACTATTTTATCCGGATTCCATGGTAAACAAGTAACGGTTTCCGTCAAGACAACAGATCGCTCGATTGTTTGCTTTCCGGTAAAAAAGAAGAGGAGCAAGCCGT